GGAAGAACAATATTGGGAAAGTAGAGTGAATTGAAATGCCGGAGATGCCGACGGAAATTCCGGAGGGTTATTATGCTTATATGTCAATCTTTCAATTCTAATTGAATTTGACTGCATGAACCCCGCTGAAAGACCTTCGGTAAACCCGAATTTGAATGAATCATTAACCTCGAACTGAATGCAGTTTCCGGTCCATTTCAGATTCCCGCAACAATCAAATAAAAGCGGTTGGCGAACAACTACGGATGGATGCAAGATCGATGGGATGTTAGAGATGAACAGTTTGCTAGGATGAATCGATCTGCTTTTGAGGATATGTGAGGATGGAATAATTCCAGGTAACAATGAGCCTAGGCATATTCCCGTGAGTCTCGGTATGAATTTAAACACAATACCAGGTCGACCTGGACACACGCTACTTTCTTGAACATTATTTACCCATCTTATTGGACTCCCACCTCCACAGACCACTTACCACCACCATGTCCATTACCCTCGAGAAAAATGGCGCGACTTATTTCAGGACTCAGAACCCATTCGAGAAAAACTTCGGGTTTAGCCGTGCAGTCCGTAAAGGCCCCTTCATCTTCGTTGGAGGGACAACTTCCTTTGATCCGGAGTCTGGGGAGATGATGCACGCTGACAGCGCGTACGGACAGGCGAAAGTTATCTTTGAGACGATCATCAAGTCTGTCGAAGCCCTTGGTGGCAAAAAGACAGACATTTTGAAACTGAAGCTGTTCACCACGACGATGGAATGTGGTATGGAAGTTGGAAAAGCTTTCAAAGAGATTTTCGAAGAGATACACCCTGCAGCTATCCTTATCCTTGGTGTCACACTAGCGAGCCCGGAGATGAAGCTGGAAGTTGAGGCAGAGGCTGTCGTTTTATGAGCAGTTTACGTGGTGGGTTTTTTTCTGCTTAGTATCCGCTTAGGTCTTGTACTCATTCAGTGATTACGTGGTTGTAGAATATATGGAAGAGAAGTTGATCCAGTTGGATAGATCGAATGTAACCTACGTAGAAAAGATACTGGACAATCCAGTAGTGAAATCCCTTAAGTAGGTGCTTCGACTGATGAAGAGAATAATAAGTAACGCTATACGCAGCGTTCTGGGGATCTTACCTCTCTATCTTGGCCACCATATGGCACAGATCTAATCAAAATTGACCGTCACTATAGCCATTAACTATATCATAAAAGAACAGCCTTTCTTTCGAGTTTCACCAAGCGGTAGTTGCTTCGAGAGTCTATTCAGCTCAGATTCAGTCACTTAAATTTAAAGACGGAACGTTAATCTCGAACAAATAGCGCTTATAACGCCCGTTCAGTCTATCTACTAAAGGCCTAGATTGGCTCAAATTTCAACCCGTATGTCCGGTGTAGGAACTGGTTTGCTGGTTCGCGCGTCTTCTCGCGTCGTCGCGATTTGGCTGAGTAGTATACATAACGATCTGTTTCTAATGCTTTATGGGTTTTCGTTTGACGTATATCTAGAGCTAGGTACTCCAGATGGAAACTCGACAGCCACACATATATCATCGGAATCGTTCCATGCAGAAAGTGCACCCTCACTCTGCCGTAGTTCTGGCTGTTCGTTTTTCACTTTCCGGTGAGATCAACTTTGGGTCTCGTGTAAATTTATTACCAATTTTTAATGTTCGAATTTCTCCTCAGTCTTGATTGTCAAAGAGAGCATACTCTTCTGACTATGCGGAGTACTGGCATCTTGACCCTTATTTCAATATTCCAGTAGTCAGACTGCTTATGTACAATAGCAATCCGGAGTTCAACCATTTTCCGTCTACCAGAATTTGAAGATGGAAACCTCAATGTTTGACAAGTTCACGAATGCCCATTCCGTTTCTATTTCTACTGGTGACGCGTATTTCAACGCCTGCTCACAATTGGTTCCTCCGGAATTTCACTCAACTGCGTCAATATCGGCAGTGGTTAAACCTTCTCTTCGTTTTTCGTCGTACTGGTCTCGAGTATCATGAGCGGCTGTATCGCGATAAACAAAGTCAGCACTATCGGATTGAAGACCTTTAACTACTTTCATTCAGTTACAGATCACGATTTCTGGGCCATCTTTCAATCCTTGACTTCCATTTCTCCAATTCGGCCTTGTTAACAAAATTCCTGACAGCTAGGTGAGTCGATCCAATACCGAAATCAGTGATTGGAATATTCACATCATGTATCAGAGCCCTTACTGTCACTTCTACTTGGATAGCACAAAGCGTATTTGGCCGTGTTCATCCGCAACATCCAACGTACGAGCAGACCAGCGGTTGGACCGACTAGTGATCTCCCCGGATGGCTCTATCACTAGCCTTATAATAGACTGTCAAACTCATGTTATCAAGTCATCATGAGTTCTTACTTCCCATTCTCAACTTACTAGGCCTTGCTGTTATTTTCTGGTCACGTTTGAATGTTGTATATCTACCTCGTCGCTATCAAGCCATAGTCAGTCAGTCTGGGAGGGCTCCTAGTTTTTTTTTGGATGACTTTCCGAATATCCGAGGCTGTACCGATATCGATGGCCACATGCATCCTCTTGCTTTTTTGATTCTCAGCTCTATCTCGCGACTTCGTCATTGTTATCGATATTTTTATATTTTTAATATATCAAATAACTCGTTCAATTCGGATCCAGACGCCTCGCAGTCATTCATGTCTACTACAACACAGACACCATCAGGATTACTACCACCACCGCCAGGTGTCTACGTTCCAGCCGTACTGTTCTTTCATCGTGGAAGCGAAGATATCGACGAGGAAGCTTACGGAAAACATATATTACGGTTAGCTGAGGTCAATTCGAAAGTTCAGGCTTTTTGTTCAACCTTAAAGTCCTTTTCTTCTAGGGTGGTGTAACGGGAATCCTCATTCAAGGCTCTAATGGCGAAGCTCAACACCTTTCTCACTCTGAACGATCGCGTACCATTGCATTCGCGCGTAAAACACTTGATGAAGCGGGGTTTCATCATGTTTTGATTATAGCAGGGACTGGGGCACAAAGCGCGCGCGAGACGAAAGAATTGTGTGTACAAGCGAAGGAAAGTGGTGCAGGTTGGGTATTGGTATTGACTCCGTCAACGTGGGCACCGGCAATGGGAGTTGAGAGTATTATCAAGTTCCATAGGGAGGTGAGAGTTGTTACTACATGTCCACTTGCATTTTTTCTTCTTCTTAGATATACATTATGATTTCGTTGATAGGTCGCAGATGCTTCTCCCTTGCCATACATGATATACAACTTTCCCACAGTCACAGCCGGTATTGACCTCGACTCTGACCTTATTTCCTCCCTCGCTACACATCCCAACATCGTCGGCACCAAACTCTCGTGTGGGAACGTCGGGAAAATCCAACGATTATCCTCCTCCTTTGATTCTAAATCCGACTTTGCTACATTCGCCGGAAAATCGGACGTCTTCCTACATACCCTTCTATCTGGTGGAGCAGGTACCATCGCTGCTCTCGTCAATCTCGTACCTAAAATTCATACAAGAATATATCAACTGTTCCGGGAATATCAGGAAACCAAAAACGCGAAGGTTTTGGAAGAAGCATTTGTGTTACAAGCGAAGCTCTCAGCAGCCGATTGGGGTGTATCGAAGATTGGTGGAGTGGGTGGTGTGAAAGCTATCGTTGCGAGGGAGTTTGGGTATGGGAATACGGTGGTTAGAGGGCCTTTGAGAGAGGTAGACCTTCTTGGGTTGCTAGAGAAGAGTGAACAGGGAAGGAGGTGGTGGAAGGAGGTGGAAGAGGTTTTGAGGATTGAGAAATCGTTGTAGGGTTCGTTCAACTGGATGCGACTGGTGATTTTGTTTAGGTGAAGCGAAAGAAACTAAAACTCTTGCGAAAAAAGAAAAAGAAGAGTGCGAGGAGCATGATTGACTGTGAAAGAGTTTAGAAAATACGTGGATCGCCTTACTTGACAATGTATAGAAGAACTGAGGTGGGTGCGCTGGAAGTCATCAATTGGAACCGTTTACGCATAAGGAATGAGACGGAGTGTGGTTGACGAATCCGATGAGGAAGAATACAGAGGTAGTTTGTAAATTATAATGAAGAGAGATAAATACAGAGATAGGACCAAAATTTGGCGATGCTTTCAGCAGACGTCGTCCTTAACCATTCCAGTCAATGTCTTGCCCGAATGAAACGAGCGCGTTGATGATACAACCCCGACGACCATAACCTCGACAGAGCGCTCCAACCAATCCATTGACAGACGAGAACCAAGCCCATATAACGATATCGTTATACCAGACTGGACGTCTGTCTATCCTCGAACGAAATTCCAAGCCCAAATTTCCTTTCTCCCCAGCTACGTCCCCTTATTTCTTCAAATTCGTAAAATACCCGCTATTCACTACACTACCCTGGATCATACCATATATCGAATCTCCGATTCCGAGGTAAGACTCTGCAGCGGATTTCGCGGTAGAATTCGTTGTTAGTTGGTCAATGTCCAGGCTGAGAAGGAAAGTGAAGCGAATGGTAGGTTGTAGAGGCGGGAATGTAATAGATAGTGGGCACGGATAGAAGGAGGGCGAGAAAGAAAAAAAAGGGAAAGAGTTGGAGAATGTTCAGTGAGTACACGGATAAGAGTTTTATTGAAAAACATACCTGAACCCGCTCGTCTTCTTTACACCCGCAAGGACAGTCGACACCAGCACAGCATCAAATGCATAATGGAAAAGTCGACCGAGAGCCATCCTTGATATCGGTTGACAATTTGGTGCTATGAACTAGCGTGAACTGCTTTCGTTATGGTTGAACGCGGTTGATAGATAAGACAAGAGTCGTAACTGTATCTCAGTGAAGATTATGGCGAGGTGTACTGGTGGTTTATCGTGCTAAAGCACGGATAATGAAGGAAGAGGTTTTAAAACCCAGGAGGAGTCTACGTTGACGGCCGGCTGGCTTGTGATCAGCCGGAAGGTAACGCGTTCTGGCCGGCCGAGCTATCAAGCTAGTGTATTCCCTGGTAATATATCGGTTAGTACACGCGCCTGTCATATTGAAGTGTTTAATCGCGCGAAAGCTGGGTTCGACTCCCAGCCAGGGAGTTTGCTACTTTTTTTTTCTTGCGCTTCTTTGAAACCTCTTCGAGGTTTGTATTAAGCACCACTCGAGCCAGGGAACACGTACGTACGTTTGTAAATTATTTGCTGTGGTCTACCCCCTGGCATTTCCACACAGCTCTCTACTGAAAGTTTACTACCATAACAAATGGATCTAAATAATCACGACACTCCGAGTGGCATTGCTGCTAGTACCAATGCTGGCTTTGAATCGCTAAAGCCAGTCGACCTCGATACACTTGACATAGACAAAGATACTCGGACAATTTTGCAGAGGTTACAAGACCAGGGATTTGATCAAACTGATCTGTGAGTCCTGTATTCTCTCTCGTTCAAGGACTTGTTCATAATTCAAGGATTTTGTCGGTATTTCGTTAAATCATAGGTCTTCTCATCTCATTAAAAGCCCTAAACGACTCGCAGCTGTACTTGTTCTGCTGTATTCCCAGCCGACTGTTAACGGGTTCTCTCCATCTATCCGCGTTCTTCTTACCACGCGATCCAAATCCCTGCGTTCTCATCCAGGTCAAACGGCTTTACCAGGCGGTAGAATAGACGACGATGATAGAGAACCAACGGTTCTGTGGGGTGCTGTGAGTGTTATACTCTTAATTCGCTTCCTTTGCTTTTTGCGAATTATGTTATATAAATCCTGTTCTATTTGTGACATCCCAATCGTCCTGTTCAATATGTATATCTTATAAACCTTCGTTCGATCCATTGTGAACTATCTACTTATCTTGCAGTTTAGAGAAGCATACGAAGAAGTTGGGTTACCCTTTCCTTTGGCTCTTCTGGAATCGCATACCTATACTACGCCACAAACCTCAAATCCGACGGCATCGAAAGCACGGCGAACAGTTTCTGACATCGGCAACATCGAGAATAGCGCTGAACTTCCATACATTCCTAACATCTACATCCTTTGTACACTCTCACCACACTTGTCCCAGTGGGGACTTATCGTTGTTCCTGTACGTTCTTTCCCTAATCTCCCTTTTTCTTCATTCGTGTTCCCTTCTGTCAAATATTCTCCACCAATCCTAGTAATATACTTCATTCATCATCACCTTTGTTTCACTTCTACCTCCAAATCTTCGGTCTTTCTCATTCATTTCAATTCTCATTGGATTTCCTCCATAGGTAATCGCCTACCTCTCTGGTCCAATATCCTCTAACCCAACTTCCACTCCCCACGAATACTTCCTATCACCTACACTCACTCTCCGAGCTAACCCTACCGAAGTTGATCGGATATTCACCCACCCTTTGGAGGGAGTGTTAGATCCATCATTGGCTTCCACAAGAGATGATCTATCGGATTTGGCTGAGAAAGGTAGCGAGTATTGGCCATATGAAGAGGAGCTATACGTATGTGGAATTTGCTTCCTCACATATTCATGAACAATCCTTCCTTTCATATATTGTTCGTTCTTTGTGTCCTCTCTCTCTCTCTCTCTCTCTCCCGTGTTTCTCGCATCCATATCTCTGTGCTCGTCCCTCATATACAAGCATTTGTCCTTGCGACTTTCATTACTTTTTAATATATTGTTCTTTATGTCCCATTTATCGTACTCATTCACACATTCATAGAACTCGACCGACCGTGTTTACCCTCAATTAGGCCACTCCATCTACAGGATGCACCGTTTCCGTTCAGTTGCGTCACCTATCAAGGGTTTGACCGCTGAAATCATGGTACGTTCGATGTTGTCCCTCGTTGTATCCCTTTATAGCCGTCGTCTAACTCTCACTTCCGCTTTCACTCTCTATTCTTCACTCACTCTCTATCTTTCACATTTTCTCTCTCTCTTCAAATTCAATCAAACCTCACTTTAACTACCTTCCATATCCTTACTCTATAGTTACGCATTGCCCAGATAGCCTACGCCCGTTCCCCTGTCGCGTCCATCGAGCAATACGCTCCTGATCAAATCAGAGGCTTTGAAGAGATACGTAAAGCTTTGGATGAGTATGGTGGGACTAGGGCTTAGAATATAGATGATATGATGGTAAACTCTAGAAGAATAATCTGTTCACAGAGCTTTGGTTAGTCATTTTGTAATAGTCTATTCTCATAAAGGGCATTTCCACTTGTAACTAGTGTAGCTGTATTCCCCCTGGTGCCCTACACCCTTGCTTGGCGGCGCGTCCGTCTGATTCTCCAACATCATTTTCAATACCTTGCCTTTGTTTCATCTGTAAGATTTTCCATCTCTTCCAGCCACTTCTTCCAGGTGTCTGACCAGAGGCCTACCAACATCATGAATATCAAAACTTTGATTTGGATTTTTAGGTATAAGAAAACTTACTAATTTTGACTGTATAAATTCTCTTAGAATCTGCGCAGCATGATCCCATCTAAGAAATGCAATTTGACGGGGGTTTGACAGGATCATTGCTTCCGATAACAATGATTCCATCCATTCCTCAATCACACACCGCGTTTGCAAAAAAATCTGCTGGTCAGATTTGTAAATGGATAGTGGAAATTTAATAATGAGTATCTGCACCGTAGAAATAATTGATGAAATATTGTTTGAAAGGAAACTTGATAGTGAAACTGAAAGCTTTCATATCAGAATACTTATTGGAAGGACTGAATCACATCTAGATCGAGGTCCTTTCATGATCCCAGATTGTTGTGCTGAAAGCATTCATATCTGAAAACCATTCGAGATAAAATATATAATGTATTTACTATCGTCATAAACGCAAGCGTATTCATGTTAAATGATTATAACCAATACGGGCTTTGATATACAAACTATCAGATGTCACATCAGAGGGGAAGAAAGTGATAAAGATATAACAACTATCGCCATTATTGATAGGACGCGGCTGCGTCAGAAGCCAGGCGCATGAGTGTCGAGGAAGTCAGACGCAGACGTGTCAAAGACCGTTCATACACCATCTTCGATCTTCTGCAGCGCAGACTCGGAGGTACTTTCATTCCATGAGGCGAGACAATAGTTTTAAGGGAAATACCATGTCAGTTAAAAACGATTCTCCTAGAAAATTCGGCATCAGTCAAGCTCAATTCGACAGACTCCAACTTACTCGTTACAACCATGAGCCTATTGCTACCTTCAAAACAATCAATCCCTCGACAAATTCACGATGACAGATCGTCCATGCGAGTAGTCATAACGGGCAGCATGAGCAATGATGTCGTCGAGACCAATGACATCTTCCGTGTCTTTCAGTATTGAAGAATAAGTCGTTGCTTGCAAATGGGGATATCGTACGAATGGATCATATAATGACTTCACCAATCGTACATATGATCGCACATGAAGACGTATGCCACTGTTCTGTCTGTCTGTGAAGACATTTTCAATTCGCTGAATTTGGCCAGCCACTGGTGCTTCACTTGGTGTGGGTCGGTAGATGATGCTGGCATTTCCTGCGTGAGTAGCTGACGGTGAAAAGTAAATGCTGTCGAACTTGGCATAGGCATGATGAGTTCCCTTCATTTTAATGAACTCTTTGGTTTCACTAGTGGCATTGGCAGGAACAAAACACTTGTCAAAAAGAATCTTGAGTTGCCTAACAGCTTCCGGACAATCAGGGCGACGAAGCCAACGACGAAGATTTGCAGTACGAGCAAATGTCTTCACGATGGTGGACTCGAGAGCACCTAGAGAATGGTTGTTAGTTTCCCATAGGAAACACCAATACTGTACTTACCTCCAACATGATCATTCGTGTTGACATTCTGAAGAGTCCCAATGAGCCGCTCGAAAGGGAAACACCACCATGACATCACAGGGCCGAAAAGCAATAAAAAGTCATATATATGACCTGCTGCGTGTATATTGGGACGAGCCACACCCTCGTGTGTGTGCGGGAAGAGTTTTCGTAAATTGTCTACCCAAAAGTCAATGTATTTATGGTAGTCAAGGGTGCGTGTAGTGGTGACAGTGTACCGGCAGGCTATGATTGTGGCCTGGAAAAGAGCCATGGTATGATCAAGAGCAGTCAATAGGTGGCCCGATTCTGAGTCATCTTGAGGGGGAGCGCAGCCATCATCCCCCCAAAGGATGACAAGCGCGATAGGAAGGTAAACAGAGCTGAGGATGTGCCATTCATCTGCTTTGATGGACCCAGCTTTCTTTTCACCAAAATTTTTTGGTACAGAGCTGAGCCACGACGGAGTGATGGTCTCCCAAATGACAGTTTGAATGTAGGCAAGTGTTTCTGGTGTTCCTGTTTTTAGGATGAAGTTTTCCGAAGAATGGGCTTGCGTCAATCTCTATGGGGCAACATGAGTATAGTACACAGAAATAAACATTGGCACTCACCCAGTTAAGTAACAAAGCAATGAAATGATTTTTAGTTTTAGCGGGATGCCCATGAGGAAACGGTGGTTGTCCGTGCTTTTTGGTCGCAGCATGTTTGGAATAAAGAGAGGCGATAGTTGAAGAGATATCATGAAGCTCCTTGGGAAGATCCAGAGTGTGAGCAACGAATGCCAGGCTGTTCAAGGCATCCTGATTATGGAGCCGTGTCCAGACCTCATCCAAGGATAGAGCCTCTTCTCCTTCAATAGCTAGACAGAGAGTTTTCTGGACTCTTGCAACACAGGGAATCTGCTTTTCCATCAACTGAACATCCTGAGGGGCAGTTTCGTGTTCATAAGCAATCCAAGGATAGTTGTAGGCAAACTTGAAGCCATCGGTGCTGTAACTGGGATTCGATGCATCCAAACGAAGAACATGATGGCAATGATAATGGACAAGGCCTTCCAGGATACAGTGCATTGCATCGATGACTAGCATCCTAGTAGGATCCCAGTACTCGAGCAGCCAAAATGAAGACCATCGCACTCCATATTCTTCAAAGATTTTTTTCCGCTCTGCAAAATTCCTAGAATTCTTGTAAGAAGTCGCCCAGTAGCGAAGTTCGGCCACCTTCCAACACGTCCACTGACTATGGTCGGTATTAAAGATATGGGTCCTGCCGCGTAGCTTACATCTACTGCA